CACATGTGCAGCTCCATGGCAACTGCAGATGAAACAGAGGCTAAGATGGCAGCTTCCATGGTTGTACATTATAGGAGGGTTTCCACTTTAACAGTTTCCCAAAACAGTTATATTCCAGACATGTCATGAATGATGCCTGTCAAAGTTGCTTGTGTTATTATAATTCAGGATTTCTATAGCTCCAACAGTTTATGCAGTGCTTTACAACCTAAAGGCAGACAGTACAACTACAATACAAATGAATACAGGAAGGATCAGAAGGCCCTGCTTGTTAGAGCTTACAATCTAAGTGTTCTCAAATGAACTATCAAGTCATCAAATGGCTTGTGCGTAGGTTCAGCGTGGTGCAGCGGCAGTGAATACACAGAGTCCAGTTGCAGTAAAACGTGAAACTTGTATTAAGCAGAATGCAAAGCGATGCAAACACCCTAGTGCAGGGGTGTCAAACTGGTGGCCCTCCAGCTGTTGTGAAACTACAAGTCCCATAATGTCTCTGGCTTTGGGAGTCATGCTTGTAACTGTCAATCTTGCAATGCCTCATGGGACTTGTAGTTTGGCAACAGCTGGAGGGCCACCAGTTTGACACCTGTGCCTAGCGGGAGAACGCCACTTAGGAAAGTGACTCACAGTTCAATGGAGACAAGAGGTGGCTCTGGAGAGATGTCATCAGCATCTGTTTCAGAGGGTGAAGTGCGGCCTGGCCGGTCTGATCCCAGGAGGGGATGCTCCTTTCCAGGACAGAGAGTCCCTCCTCATCCTTACCACTAGTACTTTCCCTCACAAGCTGGGTCCCGCTCCCTACACTAGCCATTCACAAAAAATGCTGCTTCAATGACCCAGGAAATCATACAGAAACCATGTTTCCCTTGGACTCCCTCTCCAGGCTGTGATATCACTCACTGAGTACAACCTACAGCAGAGATAACAGACTGCACCTGCCTACAGGCTGATGTCATTACAGATCACATGTACAGCACCATGGTAAGTACAGATCAAACAGAGGCTACGATGGCAGCTTCCTTGGCTGTAAAGGATAGGCGGGGTTAGTTCCATTTTTGGATACAATAATACAAACCTACACAAATATCAATGTCAAAAATGTCCAAATGTGAGTAGGTGAGTGGAAATTTGAAGTCTGGACTAAATGATATGCAGTGCATTCAGTGTTATCATCTATATAATCAAACTTATACAAATTTGGTATGTCACTTAATGGTAGAATCATGGTAGTGTTGCATCATATTTTATAGATAAGTTTATTTCTTCAAGAAAATGTGGACAGAAGACAAGTATTTAAAATAAATAAATAATATAGATATAACAATCACTCAAGACAATTGAAAACAATATAATATTGTTGTTATACAGATCTATTACAGGTACTTATACAGCACCATCAATTTGCACACATACTGTATAATGTAATTCACAGCAGTCCCTGCCCTCAAGGAGCTTACAATCTAAGGTCCTTAACTCACATTCATAAACTGTATACTAGGGCCAATTTAGACAGAAGCCAATTAACCTACCAGCATTTCTTTGGAGTATGGGAGGAAAACTACACAGGTATAGGGAGAATATGCAAACTCCACGCAGGTAGTGGCATGGTTCAGATTCAAACCAATGACCCTAGTGCTGCTAGGCAGGAGTGCTAACCATTTATCTACTGTACTGCATTGTTATACATATATACCATATATTTGCAAGTAACCCTAACCATCTTGTCAAAATTATTTGTCACACTAATGTGTATGACTGCACATGTCCAGAAGGGACACAAATTTTGCCTGGACCCAAAATTTGTGGATATTGTAACAAAAATTACTGATTGGTTTATATTGCAATAAAATCGGACAGCGGTACAAAAAATGGCCACTGCTCCAGTCTATAACTGGCTTTCACAGCAAGGAGCAGATGGAAGGGTAACACATCTCAAACAACAAAAGAGAGAAATTCCCAGCTCAGCTTGCAAACAAACTGAATTAGCCTGTGTAACAGTATGCGTTAAAAACAGGGGTTTATTTAGCACACATTTGCAAATACATGCGTAAGTTACAGAGCCTCATCACGGCACCCCGATATTCTGTAGTTTCTAACGCTACAAATTATGAGAGCCCCCATAGTAGAGGCACATGTATTTAATGGATAGACCTAGGGCAGGTGGACCTGAGGGAGCCCACCCCCTCCTTAAAAGTATAGGACTGCACTGTACACCCAGCATGTAACACAATGGCAGCCAAGGTGTCCAGTGCGCCCCCTCACCAACAATTCAACAGTATGAAAAATGGCCACTGCCCCAGTCTATAACCGGCCTTCACAGCAAGGAGCACATGGAAGGGCGACGCATGTCAAACAACAAAAGAGAAAAATTCCCAGCTCAGCTTGCCAACCAGCTTGCAAACAAACTGAATTAACCTGTCTAACAGTATGCTTTAAAAATGGGGGTTTAGTTAGCAGACATTTGCAAATACATGCATAAGCTACAGATCCTTGGCACGGCACCCCGATATTCTGTAGTTGCTAAATCTGACAGTGGCCTTAACTATTATGGCGGGCAGCCAAAGGCTGACCTTTTATAGCCTATATGAAGGTTAAAGGAAATTATAAAAATAATAAAAAATACATACCTGCTTTGCTTACAATAGAAGCACTATGCATGCCCACTAAGGCTACTGTTTCCAGTCAAAATACCAGCCTTAAAGTGAACCTGAAATCAAAAAGTAACAATTTTCTATGTTATAGGGAACATCTAGAACTGTTAATTGTTTAATTCCTGTACCTGCAGTCTCATAGCTGTATACCCGTTTCAGGACATCTGGAGTGAGATTTGGTGATGTCACCTACTCTACCAATTCAGCCTCATCTGCACAGAGACACAGTGCAGAACAAGGCATTATAAGTCAGTAATGAGGAAAAGATCAATAGTTGTTCACCCACCCTGTGACGTTACCAAAGTACAATTCAAAAATAAAATGCATTTAAAATTAATTCAGATAATAATTAAAACAAAAATAAAAAAGTCCACATATGTATGCATGCAAAATCTACATACATGCAGTGAGACGCACACACCCTACACATGTTGGGTATCTCCACACATGTCAAAAATAGAAGAATAATTACAGAACATAATTTTATTTGGATTTTAAATTGATGAGCTTTCCATGTTTTAATTAGTCACCTATTTACAATTCTGGGCTCATGCTATATGCTCATGCAGGACTCCTATGTTTTGCCTCAGTGGTGTCTCCAGTAGGACATGAAAGACTAGGAAGACCTTTGATGCAGACCACAATGGACTATGGGAGATGTGGTTTGTGCAAAGGACTTGGTTATGGAAGTGAATGGGATCATGGACTGCAATCCCCAGTGGAGAGATGTATAAGGGGAGAAGAGAGAGCAGCTTTTCCCAGTCTGCATGAGGTTTGACTTCCTCTTTCATGCAAAGCGGCACACTTTTGAGTCACTGTGTGTGTCTAGCAAAGGCACCTTCTCCTTGAGCTGCAAGCTGGGTCTTCAGTGGCTAGAGCCTGGAGGTGTAGGGAAGAAGTTCATGCTGAGAGTGGAGCCGGAGGAGTTTCTGGTTACCAAGCTTCTAAATCAGAGCCTGCCATGTGCACAGGACTGGAGCTCAGCCCCGCCCCCCTGCTCTCTCCTCATTGGCTTACTGGCTGTGATTGATATCAGTGAGAGCCAATGGTTCCTGCTGCTGCTGTCTCAGCCAATGAGGATAGAGAAACTTGGGACAGCTAAGGCTCCATGTACATCACTAAATTGAGAGTGAGCTCAGGTGAGTACAAGAGAAGGGGGGGGGGGGGGCTGTGGGGGGGAGCAGCACACAGAAGGATTTTTACCTTCCTGCATTCTAAAAAAAACCTTCAGCCTTTACAACCACTTTAAGTCTCATGTTTTTTATTTAAAGGACATTTTAGAGATTTCGCCATTTAGAGACTGTGTTTTGAGTGCAATAAAAAGCTATTTGGTGTACTTTATATTGAAAAAGTGGCCTAGATCAACATTTGCACATAACTTGTGGAATGTGAAAAAAATAATATCTACTGTATTATGACTGTTGTTACTCCCTCCTCATTGGCCTACCTCATCACAGGCTATCCCCACTTCAGTCTATCATGAATGCTGCTGCCAGACTCATCCACCTTACTAACCATTCTGTATCTGCCACCCCTCTCTGCCAATCCCTCCACTGGCTTCCCATTGCCCAACGGATAAAATTCAAAACACTAACAATAACAATAACGTATAAAGCCATTTATAACTCTGCCCCAAATTACATCATCGATCTTGTCTCCAAATACCACCCAAACTGTACTCTCCGCTCCTTGCAAGACCTCCTACTCTCTAGCTCCCTTGTCTCGTCCTCCCATGCTCATCTCCAGGACTTCTCCATAGCTTCCCCCATGCTCTGGAACTCTCTATCCCAATCTATCAGACTATCGCCTACTCTGCTCACTTTTAGGCGATCTGTGAAAACCTATCTCTTCAGGGAAGCCTATCCTGCCCTCAGCTAATACTGGAATCTTCTACTCTTCCAACCAGTCCATTCCCCACAGTTACTACCTTTTGTACCACTAGCCCCTCCCTCCTAGATTGTAAGCTCCAAGGAGCAGGGCCCTCAAATCCCTCTTGTATTGAACTGTATTGTTGCTGTATTGTCTCCCGTTATATTGTAAAGCGCTGAGCAAACTGTTGGCGCTATATAAATCCTGTATAATAATAAAATAATAACTGTATATACAGTACTCCGATCAGCCATAACATTATGACCACCCAACCAATATTGAGTAGGTCCCCCATTTGCCATAAAAACAGCTCTGATCCATCAAGGCATGGGCTCCACTAGACCTCTGAAGGTTTGATGTGGTATCTGCCTCTGCAAGATTGCCTTCTGCATCCTGGTACCATCTCTTCCCCAGGTAAGTGACGCACAGGGCTGGATCTAGCCTGTCTGATGTGGGGGTGCGCGGTAAAAAATTTCAGGGGGGCAGAGGACAGGGGTCAATGCTGGCAGGATAGACGATAGGGGTCACTGCTGGCAGGGCAGAGGACAGGGGTCATTGCTGGCAGGGCAAAAGACATGGGTCATTGCTGGCAGGGCAAAAGACAGGGGTCACTGCTGGCAGGGCCGAGGACAGAGGTCACTGCTGGCAAGGCAGAAGACAGGGGTCACTGCTGGCAAGACAGAAGACAGGGGTCACTGCACAGGGCTGGATCTAGCCTGTCTGATGTGGGGGTGCAGTAAAAAATATCAGGGGGGCAGAGGACGGGGTCAATGCTGGCAGGATAGACGATAGGGGTCACTAATGGCAGGGCAGAGGACAGGGGTCATTGCTGGCAAGGCAAAAGACATGGGTCACTGCTGGCAGGGCAGAGGACAGGAGTCACTGCTAGCAGGGCAGAGGACAGGGGTCATTGCTGGCAGGGCAGAGGACAGGGGTCACTGCTGGCAAGGCAGAGGACAAGGGTCACTGCTGGCAGGTCAGAAAACAGGGGTCACTGCTGGCAGAGCAGAAGACAGGGGTCACTACTGGCAGGGCAGAGGACAGATGTCACTATTAACAGGGAAGAGGACAGAGGCACAGCTCCTTTTCCCATCCCTGCATGTCACACAGCTCACACGGTTGATTCCGCTCTGAGGAAGGGAATTCATCTCCCGAAACAGGTCAGCTATTCCAACCAGTCAGTTATTGGGACAGGACCCCATTGTCTGGGACTGAAAGATATAGCTTTGTGTCTGTTTTGTATGGTCTGCTTGTGAGTATCCATTTGTGATCTATCTTTCAATAGGTTGGTTATCATGGCAATGCACGAGGAGAGTGCACCCTCTTGTGTTTTTCTTGACAGTTCCTAGATTCCCAGATCTGTGGAGGGCTGCACCTTATCAAGTGACAGATAACGTGTGCAATTGTAGAGCACTAAGGTTTGAGTGCTGTTGTGTTTGGCATCATTTGACTACACCGCACACAGCCTGGGCACAGTCAGCAGAGCTCCTCCTCCCTACACAGCGCTCATCTAAGATCAGTATAGTGTCAGGCTAGGGCAGTATAGTGTCAAACTGGGGCGGTAAAGTATCAGATTAGGGTAGTGTTGTATCAATTTAGGGCAGCATAGCTGCAATATAGTGACAGGTTAGAGCAGTATAGTGGCAGGTTAGGGCAGTATAGTGGAAGGTTACAAATATAAAAAAAGGCAGTTCTAGAGGTTTAAAATGAGGTTAGATTGTAGTGTATGTATAGGGCAGTATAGTGACAGGTTAGGGCAGTATAGTGACAGGTTAGGGCAGTATAGTGACAGGTTAGGGCAGTATAGTGACAGGTTAGGGCAGTATAGAGGCAGGTTAGGGCAGTATAGTGGTTACAGGTTAGGTTAGGCAGTATAGTGACGGGTTAGGGTAGTATAGTGGCGGGTTAGGGCAGTATATAGAGGCGGGTTAGGGCAGTATAGTGACAGGTTAGGGCAGTATAGAGGCAGGTTAGGGCAGTATAGAGGCAGGTTAGGGCAGTACAGTGACAGGTTAGGGCAGTATAGAGGCAGGTGAGGGTAGTATAGTGGCAGGTTAGGGCAGTATAGAGGCAGGTTAGGGTAGTATAGAGGCAGGTTAGGGCAGTATAGAGGCAGGTTAGGGCAGTATAGTGACAGGTTAGAGCAGTATAGAGGCAGGTTAGGGTAGTATAGAGGCAGGTTAGGGCAGTATAGAGGCAGGTTAGGGCAGTATAGTGACAGGTTAGAGCAGTATAGAGGCAGGTTAGGGTAGTATAGTGGCAGGTTAGGGCAGTATAGAGGCAGGTTAGGGCAGTATAGAGGCAGGTTAGGGCAGTATAGTGACGGGTTAGGGCAGTATAGTGACGGGTTAGGGTAGTATAGTGGCGGGTTAGGGCAGTATAGTGGCGGGTTAGGGCAGTATAGTGACAGGTTAGGGCAGTATAGAGGCAGGTTAGGGCAGTACAGTGACAGGTTAGGGCAGTATAGAGGCAGGTGAGGGTAGTATAGTGACAGGTTAGAGCAGTATACTGACAGGTTAGGGCAGTACAGTGAAAGGTTAGGGCAGTACAGTGACAGGCTAGAGCAGTATAGAGGCAGGTTAGGGTAGTATAGTGGAAGGTTAGAGCAGTATAGAGGCAGGTTAGGGTAGTATAGTGGAAGGTTAGAGCAGTATAGTGACAGGTTAGAGCAGTATAGAGGCAGGTTAGGGTAGTATAGTGGAAGGTTAGGGCAGTATAGTGACAGGTTAGAGCAGTATAGAGGCAGGTTAGGGTAGTATAGTGGCAGGTTAGGGCAATATAGAGGCAGGTTAGGGCAGTATAGAGGCAGGTTAGGGCAGTATAGAGGCAGGTTAGGGTAGTATAGTGGCAGGTTAGGGTAGTATATTGGCAGATTAGAGCAGTATACTGGCAGGTTAGGGTAGTATAGCGGCAGGTTAGGGCAATATAGAGGCAGGTTAGGGCAGTATAGAGGCAGGTTAGGGCAGTATAGAGGCAGGTTAGGGTAGTATAGTGGCAGGTTAGGGTAGTATATTGGCAGATTAGAGCAGTATACTGGCAGGTTAGGGTAGTATAGCGGCAGGTTAGGGTAGTATACTGGCAGGTTAGGGTAGTATACTGGCAGGTTAGGGTAGTATAGTGGGCAGGTTAGGGTAGTATAGCGGCAGGTAGGGTAGTATGTGGCAGGTTAGGGAAGTATACTGGCAGGTTAGGGTAGTATAATGGCAGGTTAGGGTAGTATAGCGGCAGGTTAGGGTAGTATGTGTGGCAGGTTAAGGAAGTATACTGGCAGGTTAGGGTAGTATAGTGGGTGGTTAGGGTTGGCTTTGGGGGGTACAACTAAAATCTGGGGAGGCATAGCCCACCCCAGAACCCCCTAGATCCAGCTATGGTGACAAACACATCCACATGATGTGTTCTGACACTTTTCTGTTAGAACTAGCATCAACTTTTTCTGCAATTTGAGCTACGGCAGCTCTTCAATTGGATCACATTACATGGGACAACCTTTGCTCCCCACGTGCATCAGTAAGCCTTGGCCACACATAACCTCGTTCTTTGGACCACTTTTGGTAGGCTCTGACCACTGCAGTCTGGAGCATCCCACAAGAGCTGCATTGGAAATGCTCTGACCCAGTAGTCTAGCCATTACAATTTGGCCCTTGTCAAAGTCGCACAAACCCTTATGCTTGCTCATTTTTTCTGCTTCCAGCACATCAACTTCACAACGTTCACTTGTTGCCTAAAATATCCCATCACTTTCAGGTGCCATTGTCACCAGTTGTACCCCCTTAGACTACCCTCACATTAATGACAAAAAATGCATACTTGCCTTTACACAGGTGTCTTTAACTGGGTTTGGTGATGTCATGAGTTGTCTTTACCCTCTTCTTCCTCTAGCAATGGACATGACAACATTCTTCTGTGAGTCCAGGCGGGGAGGGGGGGGCACACTATGACATCCTGGGCTCAAAGGAAATGGGTTGAAAGATGCCAAGTGTCATACAACCCAGAAGGGTGGCACTACACTTCTGGACTGGTGCGACTGAAAGGGACATCACAAGATATGAGGTTAGTATAGCACCCAGAGCTGTTTTTTTTCTCCTTTTAGGCAACAGCTAGAGGATTTTTTGAGCCAAAGCTCCACACCTGTAGCTAATCTCAGTTATTAAAAAAAGAAACTAAAAAAGTTCAAAATACACCACTTAATTTGGGTCTCATGATGCACTGGGTCCAGCGTCTTCTAAGTTCTTGAATGCTGCTTGATAGGGTTCTTTTGGGTGCCCACATCATTAACTTGTGACATGGACACTTGCAGGCAGGTGCAGTCCACATTCTCCACTGCAGGTGGCAAAGGAAGTCACCTTGGTCTCCTGGAGCAGAGATCCGGATGGATGCGCTGGTTCCAGGTGACCGTAGTGGCCATCTTGGGTCATGCAGAGTGCTTTTAAGTCGCTTCCCCTGGTATTTGGTGTGCTTTATGCGAGTGGCTAGTGTAGGGATAGGTTACCCGTCTGTCAGGGACAGCACTAGCAATAGTGAGAAGTTCTGGAGGAGTAGGGTCTACGTCTACCTCTTCAGGAAGCTCCCCTTTGGGCTGGACCGGCCAGGCCACATCCACTCCTGTGACAGATGCTGTGGGCAGCTGAGATCCACTAACCGCTGACTCTGCTCTGAACTGCTGTAAGTGCCCTGGTTGGGTGAGCTTCCCGGGGCCTGATTGGACTGTTTAACAAGTCCTGCAATACATTTCTGTTGGAGAACCGGGACTCTGTGTACTTTCTGCTGCCACACCATGCTGTTGATAGCAATTAAGTAAATATGTGGGGTTAAAAAAACAGTGGAGATTATAACTTATCTGGATAAAACAGCTACATACCAGGGAGTCATCAACCCAAATAGGAAAAAAAAAAAAAAAAACGATAACAAAAAGGAGTTCTCGCATGACCCACCGGTACGTAAGTCATACACAGAATCAATCTATTTATATAAATGTTTTCATTTTATACTATAGACTATTTATGTTGGGTATCTGTCATCTGTGAATGTGAAGCCCTGAAGAAGCGGTAATTACCGTGAAATGTGTCCTGCTAGATAGCCTGGAGGTGGCCTGTATGAAGATACGAGCTGGAGCTACTGATAGAGGACAACAAGCAGCTCATCACCCAGTATGAGCAGGAGAAGGCGCATGCCCAGGAGGTATCGATCTATAATACACCTCCCCCACTACCTGGCAGTTAAGTAGTGGTGAAGGTGCATTACAGATCGGTATGAAGGGGGGAGGTGTATTGTTGATTAGGGGTTAAGTCCTCGATCTACAATACACGTCCCCCAGTATCTGCCTACAGTACACCTCCCCCATATCACCCAGTATGAGTACACCCCCACCTACTGATCCACAATATACAACCCCAGTACCACCCTTCACTACACCTCCCGATCTACAATACAACCCCTAGCCTACTGATCTACAGTACCCCTCCCCACTTACAATATCCATCCTGATCTACAATACACCTCCATCACCTACCAATCGACAGTACACATCCCCCGCTTCATACCTACAATGCACTCCCTAATCCACAGTACACCCCCACCTACCGATCTATAAAACACCCCCTGATGTACAATACACCTCCCCAGCAGCGTATTTATCGTGAGGCAAACGCCTTGTTTGCCTCACTGTAAATATGCCGCTGGGGAGTTGTATTGCACATTGGGAGGCGTATTATAGGCTTTGCCTTGGACAGCGGCAGGGCAGGGACGGGGACCTGGTGAGGAGGCTGCGCGCTGCTGGAGGGTGCAGGGAGGGCCAGCTGCCTCTTGTGCAGGTTCTTTTAATCGGGTGTTGGAGGCAGTGATGGAGAGTGG